GGATAATCAATGGCGAATACACTTCTCTCAAGAGAGTTACCAAAATCTCTTTCTTTTCGCAATGCCTTTGTCAACTTTACCGTTGCTCCTAAACGACCTTTTCATACGTCTGTTTTACGTTCTTTTGCCTGCAAAAATCAACCGGTGAACACCAGAACAAAACTTGCAGCCACTCAGTTCCGTGCTTATTCCCTCGAGCAAACAACTCAACTTACACCGGATAAACCAATTCATAAAACAGAAAACAATAATCAATCCAAGCATGCATCTTCACACGCTAATGAAGAAAAGACTGATTCGAAGTTTATGTCCATACACCCTATATTTGTAATACTTGCGGCATCTGTAGGGTTTGCTATTTATAAGTACTATACCTCTGCTGTCTTTAAATATCCAATAGAAATTAGAAAAATTCTTCGGAAAGGTCTCTATTATCATCAAAGGGATCCAAATCGCGCGGTAACCTTCTACCAAACTGCTTTAACCCAGGCGTTAAATCACGAAGAATTAGATAATGCGTCACCCGAAGTCACCGGCATAATGATTCAATTGGGCAGTCTCTACGAAGAACTTGGCAGGATACGTGATGCCATCGATGTCTTAACTATGGCATATGATATCATTGTCACACCAGACAACATTCCAGTAAAATTGGAGGGAGAGATAAAGATCAGATCGATTTCGCTGGCGCAAAAGTTGGGAGATTTACACCAAAATTTAAGACAACATGAACAAGCCGAAAAATATTATGTTTGGTCTGTAGAGCAACTATTACAATCACAACAAGAACTTTCCCATAATAGAAGTGGATTCTTTTCGAGAAAAGAGGGTTTGGTACTTCCTTCTTGGATGACATCGACTGATTTAGGAGCTTCTCTCGAGGCTCTAGCTTCTTTCTACTCCTCGCAACACAAATATGCGTGAGTAATCTTCTTTTAACAAGAGATATGTGATATTTTCGTTTAGGTATACAAAATTAGTGTTCTCAACATAAACTATATATAGGTTTCTCTTGTACTAATTGTACTGAACTCTGGGCCGACCTGTTATGGTGGTATATTTACAGCTATGCTCTTCCACTTTATCTTCGT